CCTGTCAAATGCGATGTAAAACAGGGGAGCTCTGTTTGGGGGGGGGGTGTGTGTGTGCTGAAGATGCTGTGCCTAGGGCCGCATAAGGTGTAAATCTGGCCCTGCCCTCCGGGGCTTGAGATCCGCCATTTTAAAGTTACAAACTGCTGCGGAAACACCTCTCAGGCACCACAGGGCTATCGCCACTCGCTTCTCCACTGTCAGGGCAGGTCTCATCTTGGTATTCCTGTGCTTCAGGGCAGGGGAAAACAACTCACAAAGTTCCATGGAAGTGGCCTTATGCATGGAAAAGTTTCGCAGCCACTGGGAATCACCCCAGACCTGCAACACTATGCGGTCCCACCAATCTGCGCTTGTTTGCCTGGCCCAGAATTGGAGTTCCACTGTATCAACCTGCCCCACTGCCGGCATGATGTCCCAATTGTCACATCCCGTGCTTTCAGGAATGTCTGTGTCCGTGTCCTCCTCACAATCGTCCTTGTGCTGACAGCTCCTAGCCAGGTTCTGCACATACTGCAGGACAATGCGAGAGGGGTTTACAATGCTCACAACAGCAGCGCTGAACTGAGCGGGCTACATGTTTCATGTGCTATGGTATCTGTACAGGTAACCCAGGAAAAAAGATGCAAAATGATTGTTTGCCGTTGCTTTCATGGAGGGAGGGAGGGAGGAAGGGAGGGGAGACTGATGACATGTACCCAAGAACCGGGCCCTCCCACATCCCAGCGAAGTGCTCAAAAACCAGAGCTACAGCGTGCGGGGGTCGGGGAGAAACAGCACCGCCTAACAGTGCTTCCACGTTGCTTTTAATTAATACGAACTCAAAAGTGGCCAAAATGGAAACAAAACAGTTCATTTGACCTGAAACCATTTTTTCCTGATTTTCTCTTTTGTTGAGAAAATCGAAAAATTTTCATTTCAGCTGGATCTGAAATAATTTCCTTCTCAGTTTGGCCAGCGCCCCAAACACTCTGCGGTGCGCACAGCTCTCCTCCGAAGTCACCGAGGCAGTTTGAAAGCCACACCCTAGTTAGGCAATGTCTTTGGTTGTATTGCCCGGCACTGC